ATGGCTGCACTATCGCACGTAAGGATTAAATCATCAACATGGACGAGAAGATACATAATTTAATTTGTAACACCCAAATCTCATATTTTTTTTAAATAAAGTTAAAGGTTTGAAGTGTTGCCAAAATCTTATCTAATTTATGTGGAATTTAACACTATTTCACAAATCTTAATATTTGATTGATATATCTGTAATGTAGTTCAATAATTTCATATATAATTTTTAAAACAATACGATTGCAATTGTCAAACTTAACGTGGGATGTCAAAGAAAAAAAGAAAAAGAAGAAGAAAAACTAGTTTGCCAAACTACTAAAATAACACGCACTTAATTAAAAATAAAAATATTCTTAAGATAAAGTTAGCCATAAATCCTTGCTAAAATTTTTACTTAGTAACCATGAACATCCACTTGTTCAATTTTCCACGCTTCTAACACGACCTGTTCTAATATGATATTTAATTTAAGAGTGAGTATTTTATAAATACCCAGTAAAAATAGTTGCAAATTCTTATTCGATATAAATATAAAACGACATAACATATCCGACATTCTTGAATTTAGAGCAATGAACTCGAACGCAATACCAGATAACTCAAGGAATTTCTTTAGAATTTTCATAACCTGTAAGGTTTACAAACTTGGACCTAACGGTCTATCCCGAATGATTTACATAAAAATTGACCTGAAGGCCTTAAAATATATCATGCAACAACTATATAATATCAAGAACACAAGAATTTATCACAACACTGTATATTCTTACATCAATTGATATCAAAATATCTAAAAGTATAGCTTGTGAAAATTATAAAAATGATACTCTGTTTCAATTTCAAAATTGTTAGTGAGGATTAATGAAGTTAAATACCATTAGTTAATGATTTTAATGGATTTTAAATCAATTAGATTACTTTTACTTTTAGGCTTAAATTAATTTAATTGGTATTACCTTTTCATTTAACAGTACAAATGCATGAATGTTCCTTTTCTTTTTATTTTTAATAACAAAATATAGGATTTAGAATATTTTTCTTTCTATCAAAATAACTCGGACATATTTAGTTCAAAATTATTTTTCTTGAGCCCAGTTTATGTGATTTAATATAAGCTACAAAATGAGTACACACACACACACACACACACATACATACCAACTTCTATGATATTTAAATATTCGATCCAAATGAAATTTACGACAAATTCTATAAAATACACGTAAGAAAGTAAATCCTTCATGCAAATAAGTGGTTAAACTTATCAGTTTTTATTTTGAAACTTTAGTATGACTTAGAGGGCTAGGCATGGATTAATCCAATTGCTATATGACCAATAGTAAATTTAGGCCTACATGAAAATAGTAAGTAAAATTTCGAGGTGTTACATATTTTTCATAGCAGTAAGTATAAAGATGAACAATCAACATGAGTGTTCTTGAAGTCAAAATGAAGTCATAAGTTATGAATATCATGATATCACGCTCGAGGGCTTGTTCAATGCCATAAATGGCTTTGCAGAGTTTGCACATATAAAAAAGATTGTTTGAATCAATAAACCCTTGAGGTTGAGTCATATAGACATGTTTGGAGAGACTACCGTGAAAGAATGCATTGTTCACGCCAAATTGGAGAATAACCAACCATGACTCACTGATATACTAAGAAGAACATAAACGGTAGTCGGTTTAACAACAGACCTTAATGTTTCATGGTAATCAATCCCAGGAAGTTGATAACATCCCATAGCTACTAAGCCAGCTTTGCACCTGCCAACACGGCCATAAAATTTATGTAAGTTCAAAAATCCCACTTATAGCCAACAAGGTTTTTGTTGGAATTAGGTGGAACTAGCTTCCATATTCTATTTCGTACTAGAGCATTGTACTCCTTTAGCTCGAAGCATTCAAGATCTTTTAGAGCTTGTGTCAAAATGGTGGGTTGAAGATTACGGAATGGGAAGAATTGGACATGAAGGTTCATTTATGTAAGAGGCTTGTGGGCGTTTTTTTTGCTGAAGTGGTCATGCTGTAAGTAGATAGAGGAGGGTTCGCGGGTAGATCAAGGGTTGTAGGTGGCATTGGGGAATTGTTGAGAGATGAGTGAGTAAACGGTGAAGGTGGTTGTAGTAACTTTAGATGGCGTGTGGAGTAGAGGTACTACAAATTGCAAGGTGACTTGTAGCGGTAGAGGAAACCAAGTAGTGTAGTTTGTGGTTGAGGGCCAGGGCGAGGGGCTTGATAAGCTAGATGAGTAAAGGGGAATATAGACTCGGCAAACTTTACATGGCAAGAGCTATAGAATTTAGATTTTGAAGGATCAAGACAGCAGTATGCACTTTGAGTAAAAAAGTAATCAAAGAATGCACAAGGTTTAGAACAAGAGTCGAGTTTGTAAGATGTATATGGTCATAGCCATGGTAACATAGACAGCCCAAAAATCATAGTTTTGCGTAGTTAGAAGCATCTTTAAATATGCTTTCGTTTGGCGAGTGTAATTTCAGTGTTGGCATGCGATTGTTTTAGTAAATGGTAGTAGCAAAAGCATAAGAGGAGTTATTGTTTGAGTGAATTGGGACCGGTAGATATCAGGGATATTGCTTTGTCGTATGGATTTGGTGTCTGCATATTTGACTATATCCAAAGTATGGACAAGAGGGATAATTCTTGCAAGTGGGGGTGGGCCGTTAGTGGGATGAGGGATGTTAGTGGTGGTTTGTATTAGGTGAGGGACACCATGAAGTCTTAGTGTGGCCAAATTGAGGATGGTCGCCAATGTGGTGTGGTTTGATCGGTAGGATTAGCGATAGATGATAAGTGAAGAAGCTCATGCTAGTTTGGTAGCCCTGAGCCTTCAAAGTTAATTAATTTTACAAGTACTTCAAAGTGATGGGAGGATGTCTTTGGCTTGGACTGCATGCACTATATCCTTGTAATCATCACCGAGGCCATCCAGAATTTATCTAAGGTACTTGACATCAATTGGGGCTCCAAGAAGAGCAAGCCATCATCTTGTGCTTTGACATTTTGTAGAAACTAGGTCACATTGCCCGAACCTTCAGTGATTTGTTTTAGGTGGCTTTTAACTTACATGATGCGGCCTTGAGAGGGTCTGGTGTATGTGGTGTATAAAATGGTCCATATTTGACAACATGTTTTAGCTTGAGCAATGAAGAGTGTTATAGTGCATGCAATTGAGCCAATGATGGTACTGAGGATTAGTTGTTCATGACAAGTCCATTTGATGAGGACAGGAATGGGGACTATGGTGCAACTTTGGGTGAGGGTGGGTGGTGGTGATGGTTTTGATCCATCAACATAACCAAGTAGGTCATAGCCAATGCAAATAGTCTGAAATTATAACTTCCAGGAGAAAATTTTGCTAAAAACTAGTATTTTTGATAACTCACTTCATAAGTCTAAGTTATACGGTTGGGGTACTATCTTTAAATTCAAATTCAGCAAGTACAACAGTTGAACAAACCCAGCTAAGCAATCCCCAAAGCTGAGGATGGTATCTGTTATTACTCTACAGCATCAGATTTTGGGTACCGAGGCTATTGACCCATATGAGGCAGAGTGTAAGCTTTTGAGAGGATCTTTAAAAGATTCGTTGACACATTTTATTCATTTATCCTCTTCTTTCTCACTATCCTCCACGAACAATGATCCCTCCTTAGAAAGAAAAATGTAAAACCATAAAAACGCTCTAAGCAGCTAAAAGAAAAGGCCCAAAAAGTTCGGGCCAACAATTGATAGTTCCAAGAAGACAAGATAAACCAGTGCAAAGCTTAGCTGGCTTCATGGTTATCCTTTAGGCTTAAGCCTCTTGAAATTAAGGTTAAGTCTTGAAAGTGTTAGTCAAGGCATAAGCTTCAAGGGGTTCTAAGAAAACCTTGAGTCGTTAGCTCACATAGCTTTTCTTAATGTCTGCTTATCTTGCTACTGATATTAATTGATTGTAGCATAGCTGTTTGAATAACTGCATATACGATAATGGTAGATTATGGACCAAGCTAGACCAGTAAAAGACATTTTCAGAGAAGTAAATTATGATCCTTATCCAACTTGTATAAATTATGGTGTATTCGATGACAAGTGCGAGGAATGGAAACATTGGTTATGCAAAAAAGACTAAATACTCGAGGTCTGTCACTAAATTTATGTAAATTCATCTTTTCTCTTTCCCTCTATCTACCTTAATTTGGTATTTAACAATCTCTGCACAATTGCTTCGCATTTCTATATATATCATGAATTCAACACTATAAAGTGAAATTCTGACACTCTTCGGTGTTCAAAACTTAAATGCATGAGCCGAACACAAATGTATACCGATTACATACAACAAACTTTACAGTGGCTTGGTTTAGGTTAATGTCAGTCCATAGGATAGAAAAGAAGATGGATTGGACCCCTGAAACTTCCATTTTCTAATCCCAAATTCAGTTGACTGACATGAATTAATCATTCTTCTTAATCCAATATGTTGATTGACTTCACACTCATGGAGTTCATGTGAAAGCTCAATTTCAATTGGTTATCGTGCAATCCTGTTAGAGAAAGATATATATCAAGTACTTGCTTTCCCGTTTAGTTTGATAAGCTGGATTTTTTCCATCATGCCTAGTTTCTTTATTGCACAAGCCTCAGAATGATGGTTAAAGATTTGTGCTACTATGAGAAGTTTGATTTGCATCATCCTGCTCTATGTATGAAGTCAAGCTTATCTTATGGTCATATTAGTTGTATTTTACTCTGCTTGATATCAATAAATGATTATTGAACTCTTCATGGCTGGAAATTGTGATATTCAATTGATTTTATGAATTATTTGATGATTTTTATCCTAAATATCAATGATTAATATGCAATTGAAAATTTTCAAATTGGAGCATTTTCTTAATCTAATACCCATAGGAAAATACTCTAATTGATAAATGGTTGTGAACTTTGCTTCTGATGTGATGCTTTAGCTTATCGTTTCTATTTTGGTGTCATTCAGAAAAGGTGGCCTTCAGTTCATATTCTCATCATCACACCTCCTCCAATTGATGAAGATGGACGTCTACAGTAAATTTATTCTCAGTGCAGCTACTCATTTTATTTCTTAGTGTTTGAAGTTTTTTAAATTATTCATCCGTACATGTTCTTTTTTTGCCATATGAGACCATACCACGCAGCATGCAATTATTGGATAGCATTGAAGTTTAATTAGTAGAAAAAATGTAGGAATCCATTTGTCGAGAACGAATCAGGTCTACCTGAGAGGACAAATGAGGCTGCTGGCAGATATGCTAAAGCCTGCCTTGCAGTTGCTGCAGAATGTGGAATTCTGGCAGTGGATCTTTGGACAAAAATGCAGCAGATTCCTGGCTGGCAAAAAGCTTATTTAAGGTACTTCTCATTTCAATCACATGATTATTTTCAACTTTAGATATATAACAATGTCTTTCACAGTATAATATGGCATTATTTCCTCTCATAAATCATATTATCTTGAAAATAGGCACACATAATAAATTGCGAGTGTCTTATAATTATTCCACTGTACTAATCTGTCTGTTCACTTCTTTACTTTCTCATCAAATTTATCATTCATAAAGTACTTCCGCTCTTTTTTGAAGAGAATAACCAAGAAGAGATTTGGTCATCTTCGTCGTTGACTCCAAATGTTCATGTGAATTTTTATATCTTATCCTGCGAAGTACTAAGACAATTAGCCTATCCTTTTTCCGGCTATTATTTTGAGAATTTTGACCCTTGATTCATTCTCAGTGTACGAATCAGTGTTCTTTCATCTCCGAAGACAGTTATGATCTTCAGAAAATATAATTTCCATTGCTGTATTGAATTGTAGAGATGGTTTGCATCTGACTCAAGGTGGCCAAAGTGTGGTATTTGAGGAAATAATTGGCAGACTAAAGGAAGTAGGCATAAGTCTGGAAACTCTACCAGTCGATCTCCCACTTATGGCCGAGATTGATCCTAAAGATCCCATGAAGTCTTTTGAGAATTAACTTGGAAAATGGGGACACTTTATTGCTGGTATGAATACAGTTGACTCATATGCCTTAGCATGAATATCTGCATGTTTTGGTGCAACTTTTGTGCTACTGTTGATTTTGTTGTACTCTGTGGTGTTCTTGTAAAATGCTTTTATTCTGTGTTATGTAGCTGATGGACATTAAGGTCACAACCTTATGAAAATATTCGTGTTAAATTACAATTGTACTTCGTTGAAAAAGAAATAATGACCAAGTAATTTTCAAATGCCATGAAGCTAGGGTACACATGGACCTGAATACCGATAGAAATTCGACATATGGAACTAAATAGTTCAATATGCAGTGATGGAACCGAACTGGACCAGAAACGATTAGTTATAGTTTGGATCGAGTCCGGTTCTTTCATGCTTTGGAAAAAATTTATTGGATTATCAATAGATTTTATTATGCATGGGATTCGATTCTTCCTCCTAGTGATGTTGAGGATCTGGACCATCAGGTGCCTCTCTTCTTCTACCCACCATTGCCCTCCTACTATTTTGCTTCATCTTTGATAACTCGAGTAACATTTGACTGCTCTTTATTCCTCTGTACGTAATACCCACATTCGATGCTCCTTGAATATTGACATTCGAAAAGAAAATTAATAGGATTAATAATGAAATTCTTAAGGAAGATGAACTTGCCATTTCTTGATGCTTTATGCTTTGAAGCATGAACCCACAAGTGACAAGGTGTGTACTTATTCATCAAGTAACATTAGTCCAAATTTATAGCAGAAACTCAACTGGGAAAAATACAAAAACAGATATATTTTTATCGATAATTTGTTGGCGCCTGCCTATTGAATAAATTATGAAAGAGGTTTTTTTGTCTCTCTCTCTAAAATGGATTTGCGTTTAACGCAAAATCACATATTTATTTTTACTCTCTCCCCCACGAACTAAGCTGGTGTCACCAGCTTAATTAATCCTCTTGGTTTCTAGTATTTTCCCCTTCGGTTCTTGTGTTTCTAAATTGCTGTCTAGTCACCTGCCTTGTTAGTTAAGTAGAATAAAAAGCCTGTTGAAAATTCTCATTCCGTTCTAGGCTGTGGAAAACCGTATTCATGCTATGTTGCTAGTTTGCATTCTTTAGACTTTCCAACCAACGGCTTAGACATTTGAGCAGGTAAAGCTAAAGGAGGTGTGGTATCCCTTGTTCAATTCTTTTCTTCGTTAAGAATGATGGGACAGAAGAAAACATTCTTAAAAGGAACGCCACTTACACACACTGTTTCCACGTCCCATTGCTATTTTTCTTTATATTATGTATTATTGTACAGTCAATACAGTTGAAAAAAATGGGTTGAGTTGCAAATTTTGACAAAAAATTTGAGTGGGACCCAGTTTGTTATTTTGGAAGTTCAAAATTGATTTGCGTTCGCCTCCGTGAGAACATCGAAATCATATATTTACTTGTCAAAAATTATGTTTGGGTGAATGATAAATTAGAGCTCAAAGTGTGCCAATTGAAAGGAATTTATATAGTAGAAGGGAAATTATTTAAGGTTGTTCCACATAGGAAAATTATGGAAAAAAATACTGCCTTAAATAGGATTGCACTTTGGAATGGTGTGATCATGTGTAGTATAGAAGCTCTCTTTACGTGCGCGCACAAGGAGGGCAAATCGAATCGGAAATTAACCCCTTAAAAGAGCTTACATTTTGCTAATTTTTTTTTCTCCAACTGATCATTTGAATTCCGAAACTCCAATATTCATTGCCGTTATATACGATTAATGGCATTTATAGTGTTGAGCCTATATATATTACTCGATTTATAACAATTCAACACAAGAAGAAAAACAAGAGAAAAAAGGTTACAGCATACAGTTTTTGCACATATGTATAGAACACAATTTCTACCGCACGGTCGGTGATATTGTTCAGACACAAATTCAGTTCAACAGAGTACTATTTAAGATGCTCAAATCCTATTGTTCATCTGTTGTATATTGGGAAACAGACTTCCGATTTAATCCTCAAGCAACTACGGCAAGGGGGCGAATCTATTTTAAAAAAACTGTATTCACAAAGGCCTCGGTTAAAATAATTCTTGCTTTTAGCTAATTAGTTTACTTGTTCTGTTTTATTAAAAATGAATCTGCTTTATTTAGCCAACTAAATTAATATGTTCAATTTATTGCAATTTGATTTGCTATATTTTGGGTAGTATCCAAGTTCATTGCATATACAGTATATGCAAGACAGGTATATACAAATATGGTAAGCTGTTGCAAATACAGTAAGTTATATATACAGTATGCGTAAATTCAGTATCTAAATTATATATATGATGTGTTAATCCGGTATTCATTCCCAACCATTTAATCCAATAGACGCCACATCAGGTCAAATGGAAATTATTACGCATTTCTAACTAGGTTCAAATACAATGAATTCTTCGCTCTAGTTACCCAAATAGGATGGCTTTGTGTTTTGGCAACTGCGGCTGAATCTTTAATGTTTGTTATGAAGGATTGAGCTAAACTAACAAGGAGGCTAACAAGAGACCCCACAAATAGGAGGGAGGGAAAAAAATTTATTCAAGCAGGACCCACGATATGAGAGAGGCAGGCAGTCTTTTTGTCAAATATATTCAGTCACTTTAGCATTTTCCATGTTATGAATGATAATATGTAATATTAAAGGAAAAAAATTATCGGTTGCAGTATGTACTATTGTTTATAAAATTATTGTTTATAAAATTTTGAGATCTAAAGTTGTTTGGCAGAATAATTTATTCTTTCAGTCGTTACCACATCTGTGAATTTGTGGCCACGTAATAACTCGTCAGCACGAACATCTTGTTAAACCTAAAATACTTCTAACTTTCAAGCATGTTTAGAATTTCTTGGCCTGCAACTTTTTGTATTTCTGTACTATGATTCTTAGGATAATCTCATTCCTCTGCTTGTCTAATTGTAGCAATGATTTATTCTACGATTAGTGCATACATGACATGTTACTCATTTGGATAATTAAGAAAGACATTATTATCAATTCGATTAGTATAGTGAAGTAGTTGAAACTTACAATTCATCGACATGGGGTCCTAATTTTGTAGTTCTTAAAACAATCATTTTAAAATAAGAATTTCTGTGACCACACTATATAAAATTATAAGATCCTCGTGATAATAAAATTAGTTTGGTCGTAATAGTATAACTATAGATAGACATCCTTTCGATGATCTATGTTGTGTTGAAAGAATATCTATCTAATCTAATCGATTGAGGATTTCTCAATACCGACACAAGATACTTGTTATATCGAATGTGCTAATTCGAGGATTGACTTAGGTGCGTTCATTGGTACTGGAGTGTCCTGAATTCACTGAAAAAGATTAATAATCCATAATTTTTTGACGAACCATTCATTAGTGGATGGGAATGACCGTTCTCTTTTTAACAAAAGCTTAAGTACATTAAATAAGGTATCGGAAACGCATTAAAGCAAATAAAGGTTTCGCAATCATTTATTAATAAAAATTTCGTGTAATGATATTTTGAAGGAAAATTAAGTACGAGAAGATACGAATATAAATCAGCAAATTTATGATATTTAAATATTTCGACGGCTCTAATCTATTACATTATTCGTTTAACGAAGATCTATTAGGATTTAGTTGCAAACGTTGTGGAGGACAAACTCAAGAGGCGATGACAATTTCTGTGGAGACGGAGGCCACCGATTATTTAACATCGGACGAATCAAAACTCAAACGTTGTACAAATTAAGTATGAATCTTTGGCATTTGGTCACCAGAATTACTCGTGAGTAAAAAGTAAGCATCCGTCGTAATTCAAACCTTTACTTTTGCTATGATTTAGAAATGGCTGAGGCGTTGTATGAATCTCTTGATGAAATTTATTGCAAATTGCAACTACATTTTGTCTATCAAATGAATTTCTATCTCTGCATCGGCATCTATATCCTCAAACGATCGGACCTCGAGAGTAGTTTGCACGAGTCTTGCATATGTTATAGCACATGATGTTTCCTTCTAACATAATAAATTTTCACTATTGACATGTAAATCCTACTCGATATTGCTAGCGTTCATATCCTGAAATGACCCCACCATGTTCGCTTCCACACAGAAAAGGAATCAACAGTAGTGTGCACAAGTCTTACGTTCCTTCTAGCTGCAACGTCGGATTCTACTAAAAGAGTAGGCTTCACTATAAGACAACAGATTATCCCTTTTGCATCAACTTCCTTTTCACTAAACTCTAGAACAGAAAAAAATTAGTAATAACATCAGCATTTCAGCAAGGTATATAAATACCTGAACATGTATCCTCAAATCACCCAAGAGTAGAGTACCAAAAGAAATTTAGCAGGAGAATGACTAACTTCAAGTTCTTAATGTTCCTTATTCTGCTCTTGCCAGGGGTGGATTCAATTTTGAGGGTGAACACGGACTATAATACAAATATACATGGATTTATCTTTAAAAAAAAAAAAAAAACTAAGAAAAATGAGATATTTTCAAGATCCAGGCATGGGCTATAGCATGGTCAAGCGCGTGCCTGGATCTGCTAGTGGCTCTTGCATTTGTCAGCAATAGTCATAACTCGCCCTGATAAGCCAATAAGGGTGGCCGAAGAAGTTGGTGGCTCAATTTGCACATGAAGAGGCGAATCTAAATTATCAAGATTGGCTCGAGCGAGTCAGTCCCGAAGGTCCTGATCCACATCATCATTTCGAACACTTTTAATATGAAAACTATGGAATTGATTTTGAAACATCCAGGCACAGAAATTGTATTGTACTAGTCTCATCGCATTTTTCAACAAAAGAAAATTTTATTTGAAGAAAAAGTTTCAAAATCAGAACAAATAAGTAACTTAAAAGTTCGCTTTGATTTTAAGCTTTTTCTGCATCTGTCAACAGGTTTTTTTACATTTTCGATACATATTAGAGGTAAACCAAAACGAAGTTATCTGTGCTGGAATTATTTCAATCATCTATTTCTCTTTAAATCATGGACACAACTTGATTTACATAATTCTTAACGTTTATTGGAAGGCCTACTTATTGTCCGTTGTGAATTGCTTGCATTAATCCATGAATTAACTAGAAAATGAGAATTATAAAGTACATAAGTGAAATTACGATGAAATAATTGTCTCCGGAAGGAGAATATATAAGTTTCAATTAAAACAACCTTGAAGCTATTTCTTATTTACCACACTATTTTTTAGTACTAATTCCTACAACTTGCTACTCTGTTACAAGTTCTAATTGACTCGTGATTGCAGGTTACAACTGATTTAAGCTTTTAGTTTTTCCTTAACTCTAACTGAATAAAAATTTGTCGAATCAGATTGGACTAATCAAAACATCATTGTATAAAAAAGTCTTACCTGTTCCTCCCGGACCATCAATAAAAAAAGCTCCACTTGATTCATCTTTTACCTTTTTCATAATTGTATCTTACGCAAATCATTGTTCTTTATTTAATTTTTTCTTGCAAACAAGGTCCCCTTCAATATTGAAATTGATTGTTTCCTCTGTAATCATTCTTGCCAATCTTTGAGCCTCATCTATATTTACGAAGAATAAAACTATTCCATAATCGTTTACGTTTTTATCCAATGATTCTAATATAGAATTGATGTCTTCCAAAGCTTGTACTGTAGCAGTTTCAATAGGTATATTTTGATGTATATAATCATCAATCATATAGGCTTTAAATTTATACCATAGTAGGTTTGGTTGATTAGGGTTGCAACGCGTAAGAAGTGAAGTAAAAAGATGCCTCAAAGAACTAGGCAATTCATAAATAATAGCTTCAGATGAACATTCTCCACAATGATTGTCTCCACTTAACAAACCATGTAAAAGTCCTGCTTCTCGATACATCGTAACAATTACACCATTTGAAATTCTTAAACTATGAAATGATGTTGGTCCTTTAATATGATTAAGAAGAACACGGAGGAAATATCATTCTCCTTTAGATGGATTGACTGTCACGATTCGTCCAATAATAGTGTGTTGTTTTCTAGGAGTCCAAATTTTCCCATTTGAATTTTAGATAAAATGTGTTGGAAAATTTTGATACAATAATGTTCGAGCAAATTCATTCGAAAAAATTGAGTCAGCATTGATCTTTTCAAATATTCATTTCTAATAATATTAGATAAATCATCTTTATTGTTGTATGTTATGTGCTGATAATTTTCAATATGAAACTGTACAAGTAGGATAAATTTCTGATAAATTAAAAGAATAAATTCTCCACATAGCTTCAGGTGGAGATATCCATCTAGCTGTTTGATAAGCAGAAATTTCATCTATGTCCTTGTTTGTTTGATTTTTACCGAAAAAAATGTATACGATTATATCCTTTGTATACATATTTGTACAAATACTTTATTGCTTTAATAGAAGAACATACTTCAACATTAATATAATAATCAAATTTTGCATTTAAATAAGGATTATATGATACAACACATCGATTATCTAACATATGACCTCTAACTTTAATAGAAGTACAATTATTACGACCCATGTACAATGGTTATGAGTTATCACCAAATATAGTATCATTATAATAATTTTTAGGATATTTATTCTTACAACACTACTTCGCACCATACATACTTTTTTGGATTAAAGTTTCCACAAGGACCGTGCGTGTTGTGTTTTATAATAACAGAATGAAGATGTAAATATTTATTTTTATCAGGAATTTCAGATGAAACTATCCTATCAACCTGTTCAGCACAAAAGATTTTATGAGCACAATTGAAACTCAACAATAGATGTGCATGAGGAAGCCCTCTTTTTTGAAATTCAATCATGGATACATGAGCAATAACAAAGCCAAAAACATCATCTTTGTATAAATCATTTTTTAACTCTTCCAATTTTGCTCTAAATATATGTGCAATTAAATTAGATCGATTTTGCACTTTATCATTGTGTTTCAATTCTTCCCTAATTTCAGGTCAATTTGGATTACATGTTATAGTTAAAAATATAACAGGTTTTCCGTAACGTTGAACGATAGTCATTGCATCTAAATATCTTCTAATCATATTTTTAGGCCCACATGTAAAGGATTGCGGTAGAACAATCTTCTTTCCAATTTTATACCCTCTCGTTTCTCCATTTTAAACACTATCTACAACATCTTGATAAAGTTCAGCACGAATTTGTTTTTGACTGTTACGAAAATAGTCTAACCTAGCAGTTTCAATCTTAACGTATATATTTACAACATATTGTTGTAAAATTCTACTGGCGTGAAGTAACACAGACTTGCTAGAAGGACTGATTTGTAACTTGTAAAAATAATACTCGCAACAAGAAACTTGGGATCGTTTCTTCGTTCCATTAAGCACTACATAAAAAACAAGAAAATAAATGTTACATTAGTTTAGAACATTACCTTGTACAAGTTGAAAAGCATACAAAAAAATATATATATTAGCAAACGTTCAGCTTCTTTTTCAATGATTTTAGTTCAGAATTTATTATGTTAGGAAAAGAAACATAATTGGGCAAATTCTGAGTTTGTAAATACGTCTTTCTATATCTTTGAATACCTTCATGCTAACCAAATTCTTCAAATGGGAAAAATAAAGGATACTGCAAAAGATCATAACAACGATAATAATAATGAACTCTATGTGAATTACCAGAGTGACCATATATAGTAATATCACGAATACGAATATTTGCATTTTCATCATCCTCAA